AGGCCGGTTCCATTTTTCCACTGATGCAGGGGGCGACAGGGCCACGGGGCGACAGGGTCACTGCATAGCTGTCGCCAACGAAGCTCTATGCAGATGACCAGGATGCAGGGACTGATCATCCCTGTGTACCTGCAACTGAAACCTTTGACCACGCTGTCTAATCTGCTTGGTTTGTTTCCATGGTTCTTCATGATTCTTTCCCTTAAACAGGTTTCCCACCGCACCTTTCAGCAACTTATGCACTGCATTTCGGCCGCGCGAGTGAAACACTTGTTCAACAATACAAGTCACCGGACCCTTTCACCTTGCCGTTCCCTCACCTTCCTTCCCAACGTGGCAATTGAGTCTAACTGAAAACCCAAGTTCGAAGTGTGACACCCGCGTGGAGTCACAGGGATTCTTTTGAATTGGTTTTATTATCTTGGTTCTATTGCAGCAGGGGAGTGCGGCATGGTTGTGGGACCGCATTCAACGAAGCTACCACAATCATGGGATACCGAGTCTGATCAACTCGGCGTACCTGCAGTTTTACCTGAACACCTTCCTCGTGGTCCCTGCTTTTAGGTAGAATCTAGAACAAGAAATTTCGGCCACTGCGTCGATTTGCATCGGCAGTCACACATTTGACTTTGGAGCTTTGCAACTTGGAGGGCTTTGGCCTCATGGAGGGTACCGCTGTTTTTTTTTCAGGTTCCTTATTCCCTGGAGACTTAGGTTTTTCACTTAGGCTGGCGTGTGGCAAACCGCAATCGAGTCAGTAGGCATTTCCTAACTGTGTGTGAGTTTGTGTCAAGCCCTGTTCCAAAGGGACTTTAACTTTAACATGCAATGCACGAGGCTTTCTCGACTCTAGCCACCGAAGCTAGAAAAATGAGTGGAAGAGTCTGTGGACGCACAAACCTGTACCTGCTATTTGCCGTGCTTATGGCAATTGAAGATTCTGTGGTTCCAAGCCGATGGTCAAGCTGTTCCCATTCGGTGATCCGCACTAAAGGGCCTGCTGTCAAACCAGCTTTGGGCGCAGAATTCACACTCATTTCGCCATCATGCCGTTGAACTCTTTAATCGCCACTCCTCCCAGTCATGGTTCTTCCTTCTGGCTGTTTTTCTTGTCTCTCCTTTCTTCTCCTTTCCTAGAGGCTTGTTGGGTGTAATGCGGGTTGCGCCGGACATACGCGATTTGGGCTTTGTTCGTGTTCCCCAAATACACAGTTCCTGACGGAACACATCTTCTAATTTGCTGTTCGTTCGGCGCTCATGCTCTGGAGCTTGCACTTTGTTTTCCTCTCCTTTTCTTTTTCCTTTTGTTCTTGGTTCTCTCTCTTTTTACAGGCTTCCTGGGCTGTAAACGGAGTTTCGGTCAAGGGTGTTTGCGTGTGTCAAAACATGGTCCAAAGGGACTTTAACATACAATGCAGGGGGCTGCGGGCTAGCGGCTGGTTTCTCGACGCTAGCCCAGCGAAGCTAGAGAAATGAGTGGAGGAGTCTGGGGGCTCACAGGTTTCTAGCTCCTATTTGTCATGCGGATGGCATTCTGAAGATTTGTGATATTAAGCAATCGTCAAGCTGTTATCATTCGGTGTTTCGCACTATAATGCAGTAGAGTGTGCCAATGCATTCACGAACACTGCAATCATGTTTTTGCAAATTCTCTTCTAAGTGTGTGTGCTTTTATGGTTCTATGCAGGATGGGATGGGAGGTTGTTTGATGTTGTTTGTGTTTGCAGTGGAGCTTAGAATTCTTACCACACCAGTCCCAGTACAGTTCTATCTAATCCTGGAATCATCTAAACACTTGGCCGTCCAAATTGGCACTGAAGATGTGGGGCGGGCAAGTCCCGACTTGTTCCTAACGCTTTATCGCTATGTACATTTTTTTAGATTGCGCTGCAGCTTTCAGATTTGTTTTAATGTTTAAATGTTTTGTCATGAATGAAAGAACAAACAGTTCCAACAACAGTAAACCTAATTACTCAGCCCTGCCTCCACAAAACACAGTTTCTAAGTTCACCAATTTACCTTGACACACCAAATAAATCGGGGGCCTTGCACATTTCTCAGTGTTGCCAGGCCGCTTGGAACAAGGATTCAGATGCTGAAGAGCGGGATGCCTGACATGGATAGTCCAGAGAATCTTTGTCAGTTGTCTGTGAAACTCGATGATGTAACTCAAAGCACTCAAGAACTCGATAATGAATACACAAACTCCTTTGGTTAGGAATGGTGTTTGAACACTTCGGCGTTTGACTTGCTCTTCAGCCGCTGGCGGCTACTTGGAATGCCCGAGGTTTGGCATTTCGGTGTTCCTGACGGCAGTGCATTGCAAGGACTTTGTCAAGGCTCAGCAGGCCGACCTTTCCGCGACCATTCGTGGCAGTGGGTTTCGGCAACGGTTCTTGGCCACTAGATCGCTGAGAATCAGGTGGCCAGCAAGCTCTACCAGAAGCACAAAAAGTCTCAATACCTTTTGTGGGCTAATGCCTCAGCTTTCAACCTAGCACCAAATGAATGGAAACTAAACGCAAACACCATAAACAGATTGATGATTGAGGGCCTTACAACACCTTGAGGTTGTTGCGGCTATTCTACTGCAGGTTCGGGTGTGGCTTGCGTGATTAAAGGCCAAAGACCGTGAAGCATGCAGTTTGCAATTATATATATAAACAGAGTCAGCAACCTTCAGTAGCATTCATGCCGGAGATCAGGGAACAGACTTGAGATGGCTGATCACAAGGCAATGACATATGATGAATATATCAACATAAATACTATATAAATATACAGCTGGTGATTGTAATCATGAGCACAACATGTCACGCGCAATAGCTGCCAGGCGGGCGCTCCGCCCAAATTGTTGGACCTTGCATCTATGTTTCTGCAAAAGGCACATTGGATTCTTTGGTACATCGAGCTCTATGTTGAGCCAGTGGTTCTTGCCAGTGGTGTAATGCTTCTGTTCAGCACTGGGGCAAGCAGTGGACTGGGTCTTTGGCATGAGGACGTAGGCAAACACGAGAAAATCTCAGGATGGCCTCGGGACTCATGAGCAATTTCATTTTTGCAGCCAGCAGACTTGGAACGGGATGAGGCCATAGGCCCCAAACACCAAGTCTTACCATTCGCTCGGAGCAACCAGGCTCCATTGGACCTGGCTTCTCTGAAGGGCAAAGTACCCTTCAACCGAGGCGCTGCGTTTTGAGATTCGCAGATAAGACTCATTTGGACATGGGTTTGTGTGGTGAGGCCCATGTTTTATGAAAGAGCCTGGAGGGCATGACAAAACTTTACCTTCTTTGTGGGGTTCATCATAGATCAATAGGTTCAACCTCGGTTACTGCAATACGTAGCCTGCCATGGCGAATGGGTTCTTTGGCCGTACATGAGAAGTCTACCGCCCTCACTGCGGGCCAAAACATGAACCAGTCTTTGTTGTCGAAGAGTGTAACGCAAAAGCATCTGAAGGCACAGACAGGACATGAGTTGTCTCGTGGACTGGAGCAGACCAGTTTTGCTGATGCAGTGTGTGCCCTGTGGTGAGGCCAACTCTACTTGTTTTTTCTCCACTTGGGCACCTTGCAGCTGCAGCAGAAGCAGGCAGGTACTTACTAGCTAACTGCATTATATTGGCCTAGATGACATCAGCATTTGATCCATAGGACTGCTATCGTAAGGGATCCTTTGTCTGACTTGTGCAAAAGAGGATCAACCAAAAAGGATTAAGTAGTAGCCTTTGTGTATGACTCAGTGTATGACTCATATGAGTAATGTTGAACATTTGCAGACAGACACCTCTGAATTGAAGGATTCCGGGGCCCGAAACACCTGTCAGGCCGAGGCGTTGCAACTCCTGGAGGCCCAGGGTACGGAGGGATCCGAGCATGAGCCAATTTATCCTTCGGTACTGATTTGTTTGATCATAGAGGACAGAACTTCTTTCAAACCTGCTCCTGCGTATGCTAATTTGGGGCGAGAAATTGCACAGGATGAGATCCAAGAATTGTACATTCAACTGTGCACAACTGTGCTGCCTTCAAACATCACAGTTCACGCACCTGCCTAGCAATGAGGTGTTAAGCCGATCACTGTCATAGGATATGCTGATATGCTTGATGTATCTTGATGTACCCAACTCATCATAACTCATTGACTTCACCGGGTTTCTAAATGTTCATGTTTTGTCCAGAGCTTCGAGAAAGAAACCAGTCACCTGTTGACGTCTCCGCCAAGGACTGCCAATCCCTCCTGAAGCTGCCCTCCGATGTCTCTGCCCTGCGGGCCGGGCCCTTTTTTGGTCGGCCGCGCCGAAGAGAAGCGGTCGCCAACCAAACGGAAAAGAGAAGCTACCGTCGACTTCAGTCGAACAAGTCCGACTCTGAATTGATACAGTAGAATTGACATGGCTTTGCTGCCACTAGCCAAAGACCTTCTGAGGTCCGAAAAAACTGTGCAGAGACATGCGACTGTCATTGAACATCCACCCTTGACCGTGATGCGCGCGACCCTTGCTTCGACGACAAATCAAGGTCCAGCTTCTATGGGAGGCGAAAGAAATCAGGGAGGGAGGGTAGCTGGGTCCATCTGGGTCCAAATGAAAGGTGGTTAAGAACGCATACACGCACACACGCACACACACACACACACATCCCTCTGACTCCTGTATATGGTGGTTCTTTTTGGTTGGTGAAGTCATTCGCATAGCTAGAAGTGAACCAATTCATGGAATGACCGTTTTCTCTGAGGTTTGCAATATGTATACAAATATGGACCGCGTGAACGGCGTGAGCAAAACATACGTCGCATTCTCATTCCGTTTGGACGTGGAGCATCAAGACTCGACGACCAATGGGCATAGGGTCTCCGAATGCCAGGCTGGTCGCCGGAAGGAGGCGGTCTGCGAGGCGGGTCGGCCATTGGAGGGAAAACAAACACGGTGGGCGAAAACAGCTGTGAGGTACCGTCCTCTTCGGTCCCAGAATGTCCCAGACAAGCATTTAAGGCCCTTGGACTTGATATTGGGAAGAAGTAGAATGTAGAGAAATGTTGTGAGCTCGCACCAAGTGTAGGGGACTTGACAGATCGATCCTTTCTTTGCAGCAGATCTAGTTTCCTGATCGATCCAGCTTTGAATCTGTGGAGTTATCGGAGTCGGGGTCATCGTCTTCTAGAGTCACTCGCAAGGCACGGGAGCAGCTGGTGGCCAATCCAGGTAGTTGGGCTCATGCACAGGAGTGTCTCACGCTGTTCGGCTGGTGGCTTTTTGGGAATCATTGGGAGCAGAAGCAGGAACATTATGAATCATCGGAATCATTGGGATCTAAAGTTCCTTTTTCAGGATGACGCCGATGAAGTTCACCCCGGTCACCGTGGTCACCCCGGGTCATTAGCTTTGGCCACACTGCCTTAGGGCCAAATTAGATGATCCATCCATATCCATCATCCATCTACTAGTAACAAGTGCCACGCTAGTAGTAACAAGTGCCTTACTAGTAGTAACAAGAAGCTACTAGGAACAAGTGCATCGCTTCTAGTAACAAGTGCCACGCTAGTAGTAGGTCAGGGACCCTAAGGACGACACTGCGGTTTCGGGGTGGCGACCGGTTTCCCGGTCCCTTCCAGGACTATGCTCGAATGGTCTTCGACTGTGAAGGAGCTCAGGCCTGGCAAGCACTGTTTTGCTGTTTTGGGTTTAGGGTTCTCGAGGAGGACACGAACAATCTACCACAGTCTACCAATTGCCATCAATTAGTCGTTATTCTTTGTTGAATTTTGTTGATGTCGACCGGTCATCCGGCCAAGCTTAAGTGGTCTCAGGCTGGCCGCTTGGTTGATGTGGACCCGGTCGGGGCACTTGGGGCGGTGCGGCGGCAGAAGAATCTACCAGGGCATTCTAGAACATTCTAGAGACTCGGAATTGAGATCTTGAAGCACGAATTGATGTGTTCTAAGAGCCTCAGAGTGAAGTCCTCCAATCCATGATTTGTGTTCCCTTGCCATCCAGCATCGCTAGACACCAGACGCTTGTCGGTTCAAAACCACCGATGCCCCTTGTACCTGACTGCACTGGTCGTGAACGCCGCTCGTCTCCGATCGTGCGACGCCAGGTCGAGTCCATGGAGGAGGTGGATGCCCGTCGCACAGAAGATGAGGCATTTGAAAGTGATTCAAGTGGCTTTGCTTCAAGATGTTTCAGGCTTGCTGTAGAAATGGGGAAAGACGGGGAAAAAGGCTTGAAGGCTTCATTGCTTTGCTTTGGGCTAGTTGGGGCTCCTTTATTTCTCGAGTTGCCGCTGGCCACTGGGTGAATCCGCTTATTGATGTCATTCAATGATTGTGTAACGTGATGACGAGGATTACAAGGATGAAGGGAATAAATTATTCGTGGCTGATCAAATGTTGTATTCGTTTGCAAGACATGTTATTCAACGATTCAAAGAGCTAAACCATGGGAGTCTTACAGAACCAGAACTGAAAGCCTTCGAACTGGAGAGGGGCGTGACAGTGGACTTCCAGTGTGCACATGGTGTTGTGGCATCTCACTTCCAGCATCTTCCAGCAATGTTGGGTCCTTGTGTGTGTGCGGGTGTGTGTGTGTGTGTGTGTGTGTGTCTTTGTGTTGAGCGAACTGGGGCAGGTGCAGAATGCCCTGCTTCTCTTCCGCCACTTCCAGCAGGTGAAGGACGGCGAGCTGGAGCTGGATGTAACTCTTGGGGAGCTGAGACCCAGCTCAAGAGATCCAATCGCAATCCTGATTGTACTGGATTTGACTCAGTGTACAGTTCGGTTCTCACTGACTACAGTGTCCCTCCTGTCGACTAGTAAAACAACTGGCATCGCTACTAGTAACAGGGGCATTGCTACTAGTAACAAGGGCATTACTACTAGTAGCTAGAAGCTACTACCAGCAGGGGCATCGCTACTAGTAACAAAGTTCTTTTCTTTTTTTCCCGGCACTCATATATCGATGGTACACGGTTTCCATTTTCATAACCTCCGAGGAGCAGAGCGTGGCCACGGGCGGTGGCAGTGGGGTGAATCGCGTGGCCTTCCTGGGAGAGCTTGAGCTGCGCAGGTCGGTGGATGACTGGATACAAGTGGGGAGTGGGGAAGTGGTGCTGAGATTTTTAAGAAATCAAGTTGGAAAAGGCGAGAGTCTTCCTATGTATTCCTAGTATTTCCTAGTATTCCATTTCAATATATTTCAATCATTTGATGATACATGCTGTTTGAAAAGGTGCTGAATCCTGGATTTGCAGGTCTATGTTAAGTGGGAGAATTCTGTCCAAGCATGTTTGATCACGCATCCCTTGGAATCTTCTCGAAGGTGGCTTTCTGTGATTTGCTTGAGTCTTTGAATGGAGCAATGAGGACGCGATTCCTTCACTTTGCTCGCAGCATGTTGGAACGCAACCTCCAGTGGATAGGTCCTCACATTGTGGCCGCCACAACAGTTCAACTATGTTCAACTCGTGAACCTGTACGATACCTGCCCAAGTTCTTGAGACTCCGTCTAGAAGAGGGAGAACCACGAAAGTTGAGCTGAGCAACACAGCGACATACAACGGCACTCGACTTTGAACGGATGGATCTGTGGCCATGGTAGCTGGTTATGCACAGACACCGATCAATGAAGAAATCGGAGATATAATATGAAACAGTTGGCAAGTTGTAAGTTCAATGCAGATCTTCTTCAACCTGTCTTGACCGATAGCTGGTCAGGTGTGCTTTAGCTATGTCCGGACCGGACGAGGCCAACCATACAGAGGAGACGATATAGAGAACGCGGGGGCGGAAGACGCTGTCTGACCAGTCGACAGAAACTCAAAAACAATCATAAACAATCTAAGTACAGCAAAAGGCGCACTGCTTGTGGTTGTTGCTGACATCCATGGCCTATCACAAGTCGTCGAAGAGGCAGTTTTGTTTCAACTTTGTTACTTCCGCCTGACCGAAGCGTCGATTTACGGTTGAAAAGTCGATTGACCCAGCGTCCAGCTGACTGAGCTGCATGTCTGAGTTGATTGAAACTTTGTGGACGTCTAGAGTCTTTGACGGAGTCAGGTTTGAACTTTGTGTTCTTTGGCCTTGCTAGAGCGCCCCCCGTCGATATTGACACTTGGAAGCAGAATAATTTCTTTCAGATTCTTTAAGAGCTACACCGACACATATTGACACTGTAACCAAGAAGTTTCCCTAAACATCCAGGAACCAAATGAACAGTGCGAGCGCTTCTTCAAGGAAGAAGGGTGAGCTATCCTGCGTCCTGTCGGTAGTGGCGTTCTTGTAGCTACTAGCTACCTACTACCTACCTAGCTACAGCCATGCCCCCCCCACACAAAGAATCCTTAACTTGAACTGCTTTGCCTTCGACATTTGAGTGTTGTCTTCGGAGGAGCTTTTGAAGGTCCTTTCGGCCTTCATCCAGCACTTCTCCGGGAGGCAGAGCATTTTTTTCTAAATAAAAGGGACATTTGTTGAGGGCATGGTTTTGAGCATGTGTCGAGCTCTGGGAGAGGATGTTCCCTATTCCCAAGTATTTTTGAGGTACTATGATATGGTACTATCATAAGATGCATCCTCATGTGTTTTTAGCTTGCATCGCCGCATCGCCTTTATGCCACGCCTGCCAAAGCACTTGCACTCTGGAGGGCTCATTGCTTTTTCGACCTCAAGCCGCACTTGTCATGTCTCTCAGCCGGTCACCAAGAGATTCAAGACATCCGACAACATCATTTTCAGAGAATTTCAGAACCCCACTCTCAGCAGCTCTCTTTGGACAATCTCCGTTTCTGAGGCGGCAGACGCGTTGCCTTTGCTCTCGGCAGCTGGACAAGCGTTTGTCTCAGAATTCTTTGAAGCTTTTCGGGATCAAGGTTGACATTTCTGGATTGAAGTACACATATTCCTCATGATTTCTCCATTTACCACTGGAGTTTTGAACCACCAGCCTCCAAATCCCAAACGCCTGGCAGAAGCTGCAGGGCCGCGAAGCGGTGGTGCTCACGGCACGGCTCCGTCGGGCCTTTCGACCAGTGGGACCCTCGAGAGGGGTCGATGGGGATGATGGGGCGAGGTGTGTCAGAGGTTTATGTCCATATCTCCTGAGAGTCGGCAAGTCATATGGACAGAAACCTACCAGAGATGGACATCAACATGCGTAAACCGATAAACCTTTGTTCCTCCATATGATCATCTCCTATCTGTTGAGATGGTTGTCATATGGTAGATTAGTGGTTAGTAGTTCTACCATCATCTATAATATACCAGGAGATGATCCTCAGGGTATGCCTTTAGTCTACCTGTAGAACAGAGGGTCATCTCTTGTTCTACCATCATCTATCATCTACCATCTACTGTTCCAAGAGATGCCTAATATTGTTCTTCCTGTTCTTTCCTGCTTGCCCCGAAAAAAAAAAAAGGAAGAACAAGATGGACTGAACACAAGTGGAAGATGGTCCCGACTGACATCCACTCAAAGGAAGAAAGATGGTGCAAAACATGGCCTAAAGCCAAGATGCCATGACTTTGTGACTCCATGGGGGGTGACTTGATGTTCTCAAGCGCTCTTCCACCGAAGCTCCATGCGGGCATGCGGTCAGTTAGGCTCATTTGCCAGAAGATGCGAGTCAGAGATCTGCTGCAGAGGCCGCGCTTCCAGCCGCTTTGGGGCCCCTTTTGAAGTCAGCAATCAAGAAAGCTGACCAGGACAGACGAGGGACAGACTTGCCACTCTGGTAGGCAGAAGGGTTTGGTGCATAGGCAGCAGACAGGGAGGTAAGCATGCCACAGCCACAGGTGTTGGAAGCTCGCCGATTGATTGAGAGCTGGCAGGAACTGGGAGGCAAGGTGTGTTGGCAGGAACTGGGATGTCCAATTGGAAGGAATATCGCAGCAACAGGTTTTGTGATGCTTATTGTTTGTGGGGTCTCCCAGCAGCTGCCACCACCTTTGTCACTTGAGCGGGTACATGAAGACTGCAACAAATTGGATTACAACGATTGAATCTTGCCAAGTCCGCTGAGCACAGCTTTTATGAATGATCCAATGGCTTGCCACTGACCATTGGGATGCATTGTTCAGCAGCTGATTCTCGATCACAGCAATGATGCGGTAGCAGCTTTAGCTGTTGTAGGGGTTGGTTATCCCGAGCCCTTTGTTTGAAAGAATCTTTGAGTCATCGAATCGATTTCGAGTTTCCAGCTCCAGCTGCATTCCAGGTGCTGCAGGTGGGCCTGAAGCACTACTCCAGTTGGCAGTTGGGGACCTCTACTTGTATGATCGCTTGCGCTGTAGAGACGATCAAGATATATCAAGATTAACTTATGCATGTTGGTCAGAACCTGGACCCTGCGACCCTGCAAGCACTGGTAGGTGTAACGTCGGGTAGACATGTCGTGCCGGGAATGGGGCCAGACGTACATGGGGCGCTTGATCCCCATCTTCATGTGTACGCGAGGAACCAAACGAACAGAACCTAAGGCTTCCTAAAAGGTTGATCATAGCAAGTTGTTGTCAGCTGTTCTTGTACCTGTTCATTGGATCACAGTGGCCCGGAGGTTTCTATTTCGTCGGACATTTTGCCTCCCTCATCAAGGCATCGGTCGGCACTGAGGTGGTGGCTTTCATCGAGGCTGACCGGTGGTCTTGCAACAAGGCACGGGCCGAAGCGGGACGAAGTGGAAAGAGAAAGCGGCAACCGTATCAAGCGTCGGATGTCAGAGGAATGGGTGGGGTCTTTGCGGCATGACGATGGTTTGGCTTGATCTTCCTGCGCTCCCCCTGGTCATATTTGTGGTCATCCTTCTAACTTCGATTCTAAATAAGGCTTTGTCCATCGCTACTGGTTGTAGCTTTTGGCAGTATTTGCCTCAAGTGAAGCAGGTGCATGGTGCACCTCAAGAGCGGTGCATGCGTGGTCTTCTGCACCCGCTCTGGCCGCATTTGATTTGGACTTGCGACGCAACAAGGTCGCTTTCAACTGGCGTTGTGAGGCCTTCTAACAGACCGGAAGAACGCCTCTGGGTCAGGGTGCTTCCACCTTCCCCTGGTCCGCCGATTGATGCCGACTTTGCTTCTAGTGTCTCTTTGTTAGCCAGACTTGTGGAGCAGGCGTCGGGGTATCGCTTTCTTCGCTACTGATGGTTCTGCGCAGGAAAAGGTTGCTGCCTGGGCGGTGTATGTGCCTATAGTGCCGACAGCAGGTGCTGCTGCATGGGGTCAAAGCTGAAGATCAAGTTTCTTTTCGCGCTGAACTGGAAGCTTTGATTAAACTTTGTGATGCCATCTTAGCTGGTCTCAGAAAACCGGATGTTCACTGCAGACATGTTGTCATCGCGGTGGACAACAAGTCGGCCATTGGCATTGCAGATGAGTGTTATCACGCTGAACTTGGGTCCTGTCGCGTGGCAAAGTTGCCCCCAGATGGATCCCTTATGTGCTAGCTGGTGAATGCGCTTTGAGAACTTGGAATTGCCACGCCGATCATTTGGCGAACGCGAAACTTTGAGCAGTGGAGAAGCGCCCGAGATTGGGAATTGAAGGCTTTGACAGCTGCTTTGGCCGCTGACCAGCTTGATCGACAATTTCTGAATGTCTAAGGTCTGTGAATTTCTGCAGTCAGGACATGAGTGTGCTCAATCAATCAAACAATCAACCAGTTAGGAGTATTTTTGTCTAATGCTCATCAGGAATAATTTGCTTGGGATCCCTGTGGCAGGGGGTGGGGGTCACTTAGGAACAATAGTTACCACATTAGAAAAGGGCCAGTGTTTGGGGCGTGGCTTAGATCTCTTTCCCTCTACTCTAACACTCATCGAGCAGGGTGATCTGGCAGAAGCTGGCAGGCCAATCAAGACCAACTGAACCAAAGTAGACAGATTTGAACTTTGAGTTGGCAAAGCACTTATTCCTTTTTGAACTGAAGCACTTAGGGCCCGTTTTCTCATGCCTGGCAGATTCCAAAGTTTTGTTATGACAAAACTAAGCACAAACAACAAGAAGCAGAAGAGAGCAAAAAAGGACGCTAACGACAAGGGCCTCTATAGAATTGACGAATTGGAGCCCCTGGCAATTGCAAAGAGGTGACATGTTCACTCTTTAAAATTGAAGAACCACCACCAAGAAAAACCAGCCGTGAAAATCTCAAGGGCGAGGACAGCAAAATGCAGATGTTGTGGCACCCAATTCTGTAGAGACCCATTTCAGCTCTGACCTGCTGTTCATCGGTATTTTTGGTTCCCTATTTCCAAAGCAGGCCAAGAGTGAGACAGGTTTAAACTTGCTGTTCCTGGATTCTATAGAGGTGCATCTTTGAATGAACTTCATGACATCTGATTCTATAGAGGGCCCTCCCTACATGGAGGTTGGGTACCCCATTGAAATGCCCCATTGAAAGTTTATAGAATTGGGGACCATGAGATACCGGCCTAATTCCAAAAAGGATGCAAATTACATTCATGATGACGATTAACCCAGCTGACAACCTCAATAGCAAAGCATCCACCAAGATTTGGCGAATCTTTTGGGTGGTTGTTTGCTGACGCGCTGCTTGTACACAGCTTTCAAAAACAAAACGACATGTTGAAATGCAATCCCATAGTTGGCACAGAGAGTTGCAAAAAGAAACGACATCCGACCAAAAATAGATGTACCGAGCCAACACCAAACCATGACCGAAACACCGCCAATTACCGAGACACCGCGCAACATGACCGAGACACCACTCAAACATGAGCGAAACACCGCCCAAACATGAGCGAGACGGGCGGGTGGCCGTGGATCCAACGGCGCCCGGCCGCCTAAAAAGTGCACAACCCCAAGCTATCGGCTATTGGAAAATAAGTGTAGTATTGTTTTTGCAATATGTGTGAGAATCAAGGCCAGCTGGGACTGTGTGCTGTTCAAGTTTTATAGCGTCTTGAGATAGGCCACAGACCGGCAGCACCTTTTGGATGCCATTGCGTGCCGTCCTTGGGGCCAAGACTTGTCGAAAGAACGGCTGAGTCAGACAGAATTTGTTGAATAAAGTCTTCCGTCTAGTATGGGAACAGTACGAGAACAGCATGTGGTGCAAATGGTGAACTGGCTGTAGGGAATGTCATTGTCGCTGCATGAGGCTTGCACACATGGGCCTTGCGCAACAACCTCTTGCCTTTGGTTTCAAGGCGTTTGTGGCAGATTCAGCAAGTCCCCTGCAATTGTCCTCATTAGCTCCATGGAATATGTTGTTTTCGCATGGTGTTTGTAATATAATTACTGTGTTCGTGGTCCAAATCGTACAAACAAGACTTGCGACTGGCGACGAATTTCCTCTTACCTTTCTTTGTGTTTTCTTGCAAGGGGCAAATGATAGATTTGATTGACAAACATCAACCGCTGACTCCGTTTGATTCTTCTACTCTGAATTCACACCCTTACCTTCGGAACAAGCAAGCAAAGTGGTGCTCAGTGGTGTGGTGACACGATCAGGTGCTGCTCTTGCTGCTCTACAAAGCCCTAGACCTCCCACAACTGATGATGAAGTTGTCGCACGGTTGAATATGCCAACGGGGGTGGTTAAGGGTAGTAAAAGATGCAGCAGGGTGACGACGGCAGAACTAACCATAGCATGGACGGGGAGCAAAGAGATTGATTTGGACTGCCAAAGAACAGTGCAAACTTCCAAAATGGAAGGCCCTGCCACAGTGCGAACACCTTTGGTTTCATGGAGTTCTCTTTGGTTTCAGTGTGCCAAAACTAGGCGCGTCACTTAAAGATCCAGGCGATAGGACTCGTCGCAGATTCGCGTCACAGCGAGGTTTAGCACCATGGACATCAAGAATATCCAGGCTGGATGCCTTGCTGCCTTTGCTCTGGCTCAGCAGGAAAGGCTGATGATGGACCCTAGAAGTTAATAATTTATGTTGACATGGGCAGGAAACGGCCTCAGACTCGTTGGTGTCATTGCATGTTGTGCTTGGCTTTCAGGTGTCATTCCTAGGCTGCAGATGGCTTCAGCTAATTTTACTAACTTCTCAGGCTGCACTTGGACCTTCAACAGTACAGAGAGAGGAGAGCAAAATGAGTAGACCCCCGATGTTGCATTTGTGCAGTTGTGCCGGGCAGTACCGTTGCACTATGTTGCACCACAATCTGAGAACTGATTGTATCATATTGTATCTGATTGTTGCCAAATCCCCAGATCTTGTTGCCAGGCGTTGCCTAGATCTGAAGCTAGATCTTTCACATTAGCACATGTCTAGTCGCATGTCGCTGATTCTTTTTTTGGTCTTGGACTTTGTCCTCTAGACCCTTGGTCTTTATGTTCCCCTTTGTTTGCTTTGATCCCTCCAGAGTTTTCCCTTTTCCCGACCGTCACAGATCTCAGCGGACCGACCTTCGCGTTGTTCTCCGATCCTCTCCACCCTCGATGCCCGAACGCCATGGACGATGCCAGCGAGGAATCGGAGGACTCATCATTGGGCGGAGGAACCCATACAAACCCCAAGAACAGAAATAGAATAGAAGGAAATGCCAATACAAAAACAGAACACATACAATAATATTAACCGATATGTAGTTATTTAGTTTAGTCTACATGTATCTTTATTGGCTGAATGAGAACAAGTCCCGGGGTTAGACCCGTTTTGTAGCTTCCTTGCACCCGTCAGCATTTGCTGGTGGATGTTCCCCAAGTGTAGGTTTCCTTGGCTTCTAATTGAATCATACCATATCAATACCGTTTCTTTAGACTAAAGACATCAGATGCCATGTCCTTTTTTGTATTGGTCGTGATACTGGGTTCATACTGATCCACTGGAACCACCAGAATCAAGCTGTTTGGGTGGATAAACTCTTCCAGTTCCTCAAACAGCTCCTTTGCTGCTTGCGGGGCTTTGATCCAAATTCGCAGCCCTGAGTAGTACAGGGCAGGCGATGAAATCATAATATGGTGCTTGTCAAGTTGTCAGGCTTGTGTTCACTAGACTTAGATCATCCTTGTAGGTATGCGCTTGTGCAGTCCCTTGTCGCTTGAGCGCTCCCGGGGAATCGTTTGCTCCAGTCCGGTGCCTGCAGATTGAAAACACGAAGCTAATTTCCCAGGACGAAGCGCTACAAGACTCCCTTTTTGAGGCACTTTGTACACCAGAGCCGTGCCTCGGAGAAGCACAGAAGCGAACGCAAGCCATCACGCGTCGCATCGCATCGCGGAGTCCAGTCTGGGGTGGGTGAGCATAACACTCTGTGAGTAGACTGATAGCATTTTGATCCCAGAACATCACCAAGGGGTGATTGAAAGATAGAATAAAGTCACCATCCGGCTGGGATGTTGGCTTATGCTGACTTATGGGGAGCGGTAGACCTCTGAGTGCTTAGATCACAACCTTGCCTTCTTACACTGAAAGGGCCTCCCTCTCGTAGTTTTATCTTGTTTTCCAGGTCCTTTTGCCAGAAACACTCCTCAGCCCAAAACCCTGCACCTGCCTCCGATAGTTTGCAGATTCCCAGACCAAGCTCCTTCGAAAGACTAGGATTTAAATCACTACGCACATTCAATCGTATGAGCAGGTGATGCCTAGTCTACATGTTTCGTTTGCAGAGACTTATACAATATATACTTACTTATTTTGGAGGTTTGTCAGAATCAGGGAGCATCGTTGCAAGATATGTTTGTCAGAGGATGCTCCACTATGAATTCCAGTACTCCAAGGCATCTGCAGGTATCTCCACGTATCCAAGGGATGACAGGCATTGAGAGTTTCAGACTTTCAAGATTCAGGGGGGCTTTGCTTCGTTCGGTGCCGAGGCAGCCGGAGCCCACGCCCAGCTTCTCTCCGCCACACGGCACAAGAGTGTAGCGAAATATGGCGCGAATCAAAATGGTGGAGAAAGAGCCTTGAAGCATATGTTACCCCAAAGAACCCAACCCGCATATACCCGAATGCTCTGGAATGGCCGGCTTTTGAGCCGTGTGTGAGGTGTAGTCCAGTAATCAGCAATGTGTTATTGGAGAGACTCATGATGATCTATACTATACTCTATCCTGTAGACTTGGACTTTGTTGTTGCGTGCATATGATCCAGTTGAAGCCAATTCCATTGTGGTTTCGCTAAAGGAACGACCAGGCGAGCACAGATGTGGTCTTCACTTGTTTTCCACTTCTACAAACTCTTATTTGATGTGAATGTGTGGTTCTTCCAAAATGATGTTGAGTTCCTTTGAAGCAACGCTGCACAGAATTGGAACTCTCTCTCCATCTCTCTCCCCTCACTTCAAAACAGGAAATTCTTTGTTTGAACAGTTAGATAGGGCAACAAACGCGACCACAGAAGTCGATGGGCACCAGTCCCTGTGACCAGTCATTGACACTGCCTGCGGAACTGCTGAGGCAACCAGAGCCAACTCCATCTCCAGTGCAACCTGACCATCCGGTGGAGAGGATGATCGGATCCAAAAGCCGGGACAGCTTTCAAATTGTTGGGAATTCCAATGGTTTTGACATTTGTTGACCACGTGTTGACCACATTCAAATGGTTCCAATGTTGTTTTTGTCCTAAATTTCTTGGACTCACCGATCCGTTCTCCGGGTCGAACCGCCGAGGCAGCCGGAGCCGCCATCATCGCCCATCCGGCCAGAGTCTCGGGGGCACCATGTGTGACCCGTTCAAACCATGGATAAAACGTTCAAAACACCTGTAAAATCCTGTAAATAACACCTGTACTCCATCATTTGGGGCACGTTCCAGCGACTTGGATTCTGGGGAAAGTGTTCTGAAGAACTGAAAAAGAAACAACTCCCCAAGCTGTTGGTGGAGGCAAGCGTGGTACCACACCATTGATACACCTGATAGGCAGATGATATGTTTTGGCCATTTGTCCACACCGAGGCCAGCAGAGGAAACCAACTTTGAAGAACTCTTCGAGATATTGCGTGCAGGCCGCGCTTCTCATTGAATGAGTAGTTGATGGTTGGCTGTGGCAAGTTGTTTGGCGTATTCTGTATTCCAGCAAAAGCAATACTGTTGCTTGTGCAAACAAACATAATATACCCCTAAATTGTTCCGAGATGCTTGTTCACTGTCTAACGGTTTGGAAGTTGAAGCCTAATCTCGGTGCACGCATATGTGTTTTTGTTCACGTGTCACTGACAGGCTTCGACCCCCCAAGCAAGCCCTCAGAGCCCTCAGAGCCGGAGCAAGCGCTCAAACGGAGCTCCTTGGATGCGAGGGGGTGCTATGGGGTCCTGCTGGATTCACGTCTCGCAAAGCACAACCGAAGACTCGTCATTTGGACCTGCCTTCGGCTGCAAGGCGATTGCGCCAGTCCGGAGGCGCAGAAGGGCTCTCAAGGGGCCCAAGCAATTGAAAGGCCATTACAGTACCGTGGCAAGCCTGAATAATTGTGTCACAGTCTCACAGGAAAAGATAAAGAGTTTCTCCCACAAACATCCATACATCACACTGAGGAGAATGATGTTTGTGTAATTGCCAACCCGGTCATTGTACGCTGGCTATGCTGGCTGTAAGCGCGCGGGGGCAGTCTTGTGCATGCACTTGGGGACTGTGCGTTGGCTGGAAGGACAAAGACAAGGCCAACTTGAGTGCCACTGTACATAGCATGGACCTTAGATTCTTTGCAAGACTTTGCGTTTGGTTCGTGGTAAGTGCAGAAGAATGGAGGAGATAGGAAGCACGTGGAAGCGCAATCAGGATGCTTTTTGCACACCGCGTGCTGTGCCGTTGGAAGAGCCATATCGATGATATCCTTGTAGCTTCTTGTTCCTAGTAGCGATGCCAGGAGCCCCTAGTAGCGTTCTTGCTCCTAGTAGCGATGCCCTTTGCTCCTAGTAGCGTCCTCTACATTTGCTGGTTTAGAACGCAAATGAGTCAGGTGGTGACTTGAAGATAACGAGCACTGTTTTTAAAAGCAGCGCAGTGGCTACGTGTGTCCGGTCGGGGTGCGATCCCGCTCGCTTCGGTTTTGTCGTGGTCCAGTCTGGTCTGCCGTTGTTCCTCTAGTTCAGCGTCCTGGAGACGTTTTGGTTTACGATTGTTTGTATCCAAGGTGATAGATGAATGATTCAGCCTCTAATTGTGACAAATGGTTCATGTATACAGTATACATATTATTCAATATTGATTATATAGATGATTAGATTCTGGATGGGGGGAACATGGACAACCAAACATTCAGAGATATATCATTATAAAGAGCATGCACCAGCTGTTCTGGCAGCTTTGCCTTCAAGGTCCACCCTCCACCAGGCCTGCGAAGCGCCCCCGGCCACTGCCTTAGAGCCTTAGACTGCTTGCGCCCCACTCCGTACATCGAAGCGTGGTGTGTGTTGCAGGTGAGGAGATTGGTCATGGCATTCCATTGAGTTCCCTGACAGATATCAGCATTGGTTGTATTTCGAGTGCGTTTGTTGGTTTTGACATGTTTGGGGTGTCTTGAACTTGAGGTGGAGGAACCAATCACAGACTGTCGAGCAGCTGAGGTCGGATGGAGTGCAGGCTGCTACAGTTTGGATTGGAGCCTTTGTTGGAGTCTGAAGACATTCATACACACTGCATAATACTGTATATATATATATAGTATATACTGCATACTTGTACCACTCTGAATCTCACTTTGTTAGGGATTCTGACGTTTTTGATAACATATCAAGGTTTGAGGTGGAAAGAGCAGAGTGAGTGGAAGGAGGTGCGTTTTTGAGTTATTTCTGTTGGGATCCCGCCAGGCGTTGGTCCCGGCCTGGGGCGAATATGATGGCCCGCCACCGCCCGACAAGGCGCAGAAGTGAGGGAAGTCGCGAATCATGTTCAAGGGGCGAAGGTAGAGGAAGAGC